ATACAAATTATCTTAAACCGTGATGTAACAAATTTTAGTGGTGTCTCAGAGTCACCACTCGAGTGCAAAGGGTTAATACCAAGAATATAATTATACGATTGTGTCCTTTCATTCGACCATCTCGTTTTCCACTAATTTAAAGCTTTCGATTTATCCGGAGATTTCGAACCACTGTGTGTCGTCCTGTCGCAGCTAAGTACAATAATCACGATCAGATTACGTAAAAAAATGGAAAATTTGGGGAGTGGAGATATGGTTATTCTAGTCTCTAGTCTAGTCTCGTGTCGCAAGACTCGAATAATCGCATCTCCTCTTCCCAAACTGTCCATTTTTGTGCGCAATCTGAGCGCGAATTAGGGAGCAATTACTGTACTTTCGAACCTTGTTAATTTGCGCGTTCTAATTGTACGACAAATTTACAGGAATTGTTTCAAAATCTCTATCGAACAGAATTTGCGAGAAGAATGCATTTAGAGGTTCTGGTACCGTTTGAGTATGTGTAACAAGCAGTTATACTACTGATCGGTTGTTCCAGATAACGCATCTGGAGAGATCTCTATAATAGAAGGGCACCGTGTGGTATTTTGATACAATGGTCAGGGCTTTGCCATGAATGTCAGACAGTTCGATTTACGTTTACGCGCCAATACTTTCCGTGCCTTTTAGTATTACCGAACGTTCGCATTCAGTTGTAATATTAGATGTATGTTATGCATTTTCGCTCCTTTTGAATCGTTTATGTAGAATAACTTTATTCGCGATTGTTCGATAGGGCACAGTCTTTTAAAATGGAAGAAAATATTTCAAAAGTTAATTCATAATGTATAGATAATGTAATCCTTTTACTTGTACTGTCAAAATATCGATATGTTAACGGATTCGCGGTCTTGAAGAACGATGGAACTCTAATAACAAGATTGGAGATTTTTCTGCAAAATAAAAATTGTCCAAGGTTATTTGTAAGAAACGTAAGTCCAACAAGCTTTCCTTCTTTTAATCGTTCCAACAAATTGCACGAAATAGAAGAATATTCTCAAATTCTTTTAAGATCTTCAAAGTTTTTTATATTCGATGTAGTAGTTTCTATAAAAAATACACAACCGTCGCAATCTAATAATAACGTTTACATGTAAAACGCGAAGGACATTCCACTGCTCGCCGACGGCTGTGTAGACGTTAGCAAGCCTCGAACAAGTAGAATAAGTTGTGAGATTGCTGTGATTCTATCGAATTATTGTGATCGGTCACAGTTCTCGCACGATTGCGTTGATCGAGTAGAACACCTGCCTCATGGTTGCATGACGATGCGAGCCAATGTATAACGGTGGAAAAAAGGTTCACGGAGATCGGTAATGGACGCCATTACTTACCTTACACGCCCATTTGCGGTTCTATTCGTACGGAAAATTAGTATAATAATTACCCGTTTCCTACGGGCACGAGCAAAACGAGCCGTTGATACCCGGCAATTTGTCTTCCGGACTTTGTCGTCACGACGATCAGTAGTCTTTTAAACGATCGTTCACGTGACTGTCCAGAATCTTGAACGCCTTGACATAGTGTTAACACTTTGACGGCCGGAGTCACGTACACGTGACTTCGCGAAAATTTCAATTATAGAAATTGATGTAGCGTAACTTTTTGAAGAATGCATCATAATTATGTTATTAACCAAATTTTTATTCTGTTTATATTATTAATAAAGTATATTACAATTTCACTATTAAAAAAGCGTATTATAATTACACTATTAATGCTTTGACCGTCGCGACACCCACATGTGACAGTTATTTCAAATTTAATTTTCGAAAATTAATTTCTTTGCCAGTCATTTATTATTTCTTCATTTGTTGGAAAAGTAATGTATGTCGTATAAATTTGTTGTGTGAATTTTTTATATTTCACTGAATAAAATATTTTAATTTTATGAAACTTTCGAGATGTTTGCCGCGGCCGTCAAAGCGTTAATTATCCGATCTTAATGCGCGATCTCAATAGAAATGATTACGGCCGAATTTTTCACTGAAGACGTTCGAATTCTTTTCGCGCGCGAGATAAATCTGGCTTTCGTACACGCAATAACAATACAAATTGCGTTAGATCGCCAATGAGAAATTATATTTCCAATTCGCAAGCACGTCGGGGCTCGTGCAAGGTGAGCCGTTAATCTCGACTGCCTTGAACGTTCCCTCGAACGTTCCGCGAACCGTCGGCGTCGACACGATTCATTAATACATTTTTAATATTCACGGTTATCTGTTCCCCTAAATTAACTCGCGATCAAGTTTACACGGTACCGAACGGAACGATTCGATTCGTCGCTTCTTCACGCTCCCCTGCGTCGCGCTCGACCGATACGAAATGCTCGAATGCCTCGCGTGCCACTATTCGCAAGATTTATAATCGAAGATAATGTCCACGTCGCTCGGTTATTCCGTGCTGCATGCAGATGTTGGCAGGCTCGTAATCCCGCTGAGGCATTCCTGAAATCGTAACAATTCCAGGTTCCTCCATTTTCAATGTATCATTAGCATGACCGCTGAACTCCGGATTCCGATGTGCGATAAGGTCACCGGTGATTTCGGCGCGTCACTGGGATATAGCTGATGATTTCGATGCGCGGCGAAGCGATCTCGTCCGGCTGTAATGTGTAACGAAAGGATTTTTAGTCATTCCGGCCCGTGAAGAGACACGGCAATTATCCGGCAATTACACGATTTAGGTCAGGCGGTGTTGGGTCGTTTGGGAAATCTGCGTATTTTTTTTATAAATGTTATTGCAAGAGAATGTATAAAACATAATGTTATTGCGCATTAATTATGGGATGCATTTTGTACGTTTACGTGGAGAAGTTTCACATTTTTATGTCAATTTTGTTAAGGAAAATAAATTAAGAGAATTAAACAGGATCAAGAGATATAGGTATCGATGCAATGCGATCTTTTAAGTTTTCTATCGCTTTTGACAAAATCATTTGTTTAAAAACAAACGATTAAAAGTTGTTATTTCCCAAAACTTGAGAACTGTCGAATGCAATTATATAGATATAAATATAATATTATATCGTATTATATTTTATATAATATAATAAATTAATATAACTATTATTATAATTATTATTCATTAATATTATTATTAATAATTATTAATTAATATATAATTTATAATAGTATATTATAATATTATAATAACCATATCAGAAAGTAAGATTTCAAGGTGCTTTGAAATAATCAATACAGTTAAAGTACACATGTATAATAGAATCCACCGATTTCTTCGAATTTATATACGCTACCTATACCTTTTCCGGTTTTGTGTAGAGACAAAATTGCAGGATGGTTGTTCAATATCCTATGAATCAATACATAATTGTGTCGGGAAAGTGAAATTATAGAGGAACATAGAATGAAGCATGAAGGTCAAGGCAGAGGGATTGGTTACGATACACACAATGTAATGAATACATAGGTAGTACATTACATTCGTGCTGAAACATCTGTAATTTTAGTCTCTTCCTCTCTCAACGACTTCTTATCTCGTTCGAAAGTGTCGGTGGTTTTTAATTGAAAAAGTGAATCAACTGCAACCTTTAGTATCTCATAATAGCTAATTTTGTAATTGTGATGCGTAGTTTAACGTTGCCAAAAATTAATGAAAAATGTATTATAAAAAGTTCATTTACAACACTCTATGTATTTCCTTGATTATAGCATTTTTTGATTGTTAAGTATTTAGAAGTATCGATAGTTTTCTATGTGAACAAAATGAACGAAGCAACAGAAATTGTAGTCCATATATTTTTTAATTCAAATCTCACCGAATTTCTTACCTCTGAAAGTTAAACAATTTTTAAATAACTTTCTTGTCTTGGTGCAATAATACTAATGTATTTGTTGCAGTTTATTCCTTATAATAAAATGTTTACTCTGACTGAACAATCACAGCACAGTGTGTACTTTCTCGCGTATTCAACGGAATAGTGTACAGGGTGTCTCGTAATCATGTTAACACCCGGAAATGGGAGGTTCCTGAGGTCATTTAAAGTATCTTTTTCCTTTGCGAAAATGCAATCTGCGACTTTGTTTGCGAGTTATTAACGAAAAACAGTGACCAATCAGAGGCGAGCACGCCTAGTGCTAGGCGGCCGAGTCAATGAGTGGAACCTAGTTCGACGGCTTCGACCGCTTATTAGCTCGGCCGCCGCGCGATAGCTGATCTCGCCTCTCATTGGTCAGTGTTTTTCGTTAATAACTCGGAAACAAAGCCGCGTATTGCATTTTCGCTGAGGAAGAAGTTACTTCAATTCTTCCCGAGTGTTAATATAATTATAAGACATCCTGTTTACGGACGAAACTGAAAACACTCGATAGTTACAAATTCATAGCATCGCAATCTCTTTGACCGTTCGACCGCGGCACCACCGTAGACCCGAAAACAAAAACGAACGGTCCTCGCGACTCACACTCTCACAACTATACAGCGTTGACCTCCAACAGTATTTACATTTCCCGCAGGAAGCCGGATGTATTAATTACACGCGTATCCTGAATAACACGAAATCGTGTTCTCTAATTGTAACACGTGTCAAACGAATTTCCGGTAATCGTAACGCGTAGTAGACGGTCGTCGTAGACTTCAACACGCGATGTACAGGTCGCAGGTGCTTCCGAACAAATTGCTGGCGGTTTCACCGGGCGTATACCAGCGGTTAGCGATCCAAGTACACGGTAGATAGACCGCGTTTCCAAGGCATATCGTATAAATCGTTGGCGATTCGAAGGCTGGTTAAAAATCGCGTTCGTTCTTCACCAGGTTAGGAAACTTCAGCCATTACACCGAGAGGAGAAGGTCGCTTAGTTGCATTCGGAATTGAAATCGCTCGGGGAGAACGGTCGACCTTAAAAACTCGTCCGATAGGATTATGTATTCACCGAATCGCCGGCTCTCCATAAATCTACTCGGGCATCGTTGAATAATCCGGCTCGCCTTTCTTCTTTCAGGAAGTCCTGCTGGCGCACAGTAAAACGTCGTCGCACTGCGAGCCGATCACAGTGATCCTCGCCGAGGTAGAGGCGCCGGAACTCGCGGCGATCCTCGGGTTCGTCTACACCGGAAGTGCCACGGTGCCGAGGCCCCGTCTGCAGGCGTTCTTGCGGGCAGCGGAAGCTCTGCGGATCAGACTGCCGCCGGTGCCACTGGCGATGACCTGTCCACGGCCGGACTGCAAGCAGGAGGACGTGAAGGACGTAAAGATCAGCCCCAGGTACCTGCGCTGCGATCAGTACCCGTGCTGCAATCGCTGGTACAGGGCCCAAGACGTAGATCCCGGGCTTGACAAGCGTGCTACCTGTCCGGCGATCGAGTCCTTGGATGGTTCGAGGGAAATCGGATCGCTTCCCGATCCGATGAACTTTGCCGGGCCGAGATACGGCTCGGTCAGACATTGCGCCGCCACTTGGCCCGTGCCAGCCTTCTTGAACGCCAGCAGCCAAGAGAAGAGCATCCGCGTTCTAGATCAGCTGCCCGATAAGGACAGCGTGCATCAGACGGACGTCAGACGTTATAATCCTGTCTCCGTGGTGTCGAGGATCGACAGGATCGAGGACAGCACCGCCACCAGTTCGGAGAACGCTCTCTCAACCTGCCGTTCCCCCGTGAAGCAAATGGAATTCTGTTTTTCGAGGAACAGCTACGACGTTCATAGACAGTTAGATCCTCTTGAATTGAGGATGCGGAACGATCAGACTCGTCTCCCGGGCGACGAGGACGCGAGTGCCGCGATAGATCCGCTCCGCGGCAGCCGGCCCGACGAGGACCGATGCGCCGAGGATCGCGGCAGCGTGATCCACTCGAGGATCAGTCAATCCGCGGTCTCGTTGCAGCCAGCCGAACGGACCAGGCACCACGAGAAACCAGATTACGGCGAGGATTTGACTTGCGGGGAAAGTTGCCTCGGCTGGAGGACACCGAAAAGGCACGTGGCCAATCGCGTGATCGCCTCCCCGTGGAGACAGACCGCTAGGCCTTATCACTCGCCCAAGCTGCAGCCCATCGTGCTTCTTCAGCCTCACGCGGACGATGTCGTAAGTCGATTCGTTTCGCATACTCTTGGAATTTCTGTCTCGAGACTCGGACCCAACGCTTCGGCAAACGACCGGGGCACGCCGCGGAGACTTCGTTGCTGGGTCCTCTGTCGCTAAGTTCTTTTTATTAACTTTGATTATCATATTTATTAACGGCACGGTAATATTATTTGGTTAGGAAACCATGCCGGAATGTTGAAAGGCATGAGATTACGAAACAATTCATCTGGCTAGGTTTATACAGTTCCGTGGCTTTTTGGAGCAACGGTTCTCAACCAATCATACGGATTCATTGTTATGGGTTGTTGTTCGTATTTGGGGTTATTATTTAACGTCTTTAATCAGTAGCAAATGATTATTTGATTTATATTCTTGTTTATACATATTTATATCGAATGAAGTTTGTTGGAAGGTATAAAATTTCGAAACAATCCTTCCGAATATATTTATGCAGCAACAGTTCTTGAATAATGGTACGGATCTATATATAATATAGCTATATTGCTTATGTATGTCTATATGTATAGAGGGTGAGTCACAAATTAGTCCCCACGAATTTTGAGCCCCTTCCGATGGTCTGACAAAAAAATGTTTCCTATCAAAGTTAATTTGTATTTAATCGACAAGAAATTGCAATTGTTTAAATTTAGACACAAATTGATTTTCGATAAAAAGGCAAGGTCACCGTTATATTTTTAAATGAAGCTAGATAACTTTAACTTCATAGTATTGTAGGCGACGTCAAGACGAATTCAGTGACTTGCTATATTATGACCTTTAGATGTCATTGAAGGAAAAATTGCTATGAATCGATTGCCACAATATCTGATTTCATATGAATTTTTCTTTTGTTTCATGTGTTAAGGTATGAAATTGAATAATTGTGCATTTATAATGTTTACATTTATTTGTTTATGTTTACATGCAAGGCCTTGGTGTTACGTATCACCGAATTATTTCAAATATTATGACAATCAATTCATGACAATTTTTCCTTCAATGCCATCTGAAGGTCTTCATGTAACAGATCGTTGAATTCGTCTCGACCTACAATGCTATGAAGTTAAAATTATCGAGTTCCATTGCAAAATACAACAGTGACCTTATTTTCTTTATCTAAAATCAATTTGTGTTTAAATTTAAACAATTGTATAATAATTTCTTGTCGGTTGAACACTAATGAACTAATGAACTTTGATAGGAAACATTTTATTTTTTTGTCAAACCATCGGAAGGGGTTGAAAAATCGTGCGGTCTAATTTGTGACTGTTACTCGTATTTGTTATCATTGTTCAACTTCTTCAGCAGATGCGTATGATTACTATGATTTGATTTCTTGTTTGACATGCTTCTCGAAAGAAAATTGTAAAATTAAAAATTTCGAAACAATTCTTCTGAGTGTATTCATGCTGCTTCGTAGCTTCTTAGAGCAACGTATTTATTATTATTGTTCAACTTCCTTAGCAATAGTAAAACATTATAATGGTTCAATCTCCCGTTCGTGTTTATTCTTTGGTTTTCCTTTCAGTATTGGAAGTACTTATGTATTTACATGAGGCGTGAAAGTCACCGCGCTAAACCAATTTGTAGAAATAAAAATTAGATTACACCATCCCTGATTTCATAGCAATCAGATGTACTACATTTCGGTCGTTCTACTAACTAACCTTTTTTTCGAACTTCGTCAATTTAGAAACTCCTTGACTATTTTGTAGCATATATAGATAACGATAAAAACTGAAAGGAACGACTAAATCTAAATGCCAACTCTTGCGTACGACTTTTCAACCATTATAAACCAACCATAAAACGAATTGCATCGCAATTAAATTTATTATAAAAAACTAAATATTGAATACTGTGATTCGCGAGTAGCCTGGCATGCAACAATGATAGTTTTATAGCTGTCACGTGATTCAAAAGTGGTTCGCACGAGTTCACGTTCATTCTCAAATTGTTATTTTTTAAAACGGAACACATAGAAATGGTTAAATAAACTAGAGTGCGTGCTTCAAATTATTCTTTTAACGACTTCGATATTCTTGGATCTTTGTAGGTACTAGAAATTCTTTCGGTATCAGGTACAATATTAGAAAGTTGCATTTTCATATCTGATTCAACATCGAGTCTATTCTTGCGCCTCGATTGGCAGCATACTGTGAAAATCCTGTCCCGCATAAATATGTCGTTGTAAGAGGAAATAGAACAAGAATAGCTGGCTTTGATTCGCTATGCTAGGATACTCTTCTGTTGAATCGATTTAGAAATTCTATAATGGCAATTCCTTGTATTTCAGTTTTGGATGAAAGTACTCAATTAACTCAAGTAAGATTTCCACGAACCTTTTCGCTAATGTCTACTCAGTTATGTGAATATGAAGATCCCAGAACTTGTCCTCGTTTGATTTTGAAATAATGTTGCAGGATCGTTATTTAGATGTCACGCAAGTGTTCGAAAAATTTATGCGAAACCTGTTTCTCTGCTTTAGAATTCAATTGACTGAAGAAAATGATTTAGAATTTATGCAAGGCGCAGTAAACGATCAAGATCGTTCTCTTTAACTGTAGAAATTCAGAATAACCACTTCCTGTGAAAATGTGCAATTTTATTTCTTGTACTAGAAGTTTTAACATTTTTTCTTGCGACATAACCTAATTTTGAATACAACGACGTTTGAGATTTTCTAGAGTTGACAACTTCTCGCGAGTCACATCAATGTTCCGTGAAATATTATTAAAATGCTGCTGTATAATATAGAGAATCGTACGAAGGATCATACAATTAAGTAGTTTAAAATGTTGATTTTCGAAAGAAAAACTAGTCATCGGTACAGGCGCAGTTGAAGGAGTATTAACTAAAAAATACATAACGAGGTTATGAGAGATTATGTATTGTATGTCTTAATAGAGTGTACAGTAATGTCTCCCTAACTGACGCTCAGATTGTCCACAAAACTGGACAATTTGGGGAGAAGGAGATACGATTATTCGAGCCTTGCGGTTCGCTTTTATAGTTACGAATTGTCAACAATTATAAAAACGAACCGCAAGGCTCGAATAATCGTATCTCCTTCTCCCCAAATTGTNAATGATTTAGAATTTATGCAAGGCGCAGTAAACGATCAAGATCGTTCTCTTTAACTGTAGAAATTCAGAATAACCACTTCCTGTGAAAATGTGCAATTTTATTTCTTGTACTAGAAGTTTTAACATTTTTTCTTGCGACATAACCTAATTTTGAATACAACGACGTTTGAGATTTTCTAGAGTTGACAACTTCTCGCGAGTCACATCAATGTTCCGTGAAATATTATTAAAATGCTGCTGTATAATATAGAGAATCGTACGAAGGATCATACAATTAAGTAGTTTAAAATGTTGATTTTCGAAAGAAAAACTAGTCATCGGTACAGGCGCAGTTGAAGGAGTATTAACTAAAAAATACATAACGAGGTTATGAGAGATTATGTATTGTATGTCTTAATAGAGTGTACAGTAATGTCTCCCTAACTGACGCTCAGATTGTCCACAAAACTGGACAATTTGGGGAGAAGGAGATACGATTATTCGAGCCTTGCGGTTCGCTTTTATAGTTACGAATTGTCAACAATTATAAAAACGAACCGCAAGGCTCGAATAATCGTATCTCCTTCTCCCCAAATTGTTCATTTTTGTAGTCAATCCGAGCGTCAATTAGAGAGACATTACGGTATTCATACCTGGGCAAAGAGTTTTCATAGGAATTCTCTGCTGATGTTTTATTTTGCTATTAATAACGAAACATTGTTGATATATTATCTCGTTCTTAACACTAGAAGTAACGAACAATGAAGCGGTTTCTTTTTAAGGTTTCCTTAAATATTGCAGAAGTGCGTTTCTTGAGATGAATGAAGAAGAATAATCTAATCTAATTTAATATAATTAAGTAAACTTTCGACTTCGGTAACTAGGATACAGAAGATTTAAAATGCAGCACTTCGAATTGCTTGGTAATTCGATCGTCGTCGTCAAAAGTGAGAAGCCTGAAAAGGAACTAGGAAAGTTGAATGGGGATGATTAACGTTCAAAAATCGGAGAGATCTTTCTTGCGACTATTCTTGAAATATCGCGTGTCGCTCGAAGCGAGACCCGAGGTCGGGGATTTCTATTTCAAGACGGTGATCCATTCGGAACATGATTTATCTGGTAAACAGATCGGTCTTCGATATCCGATTGCAAGGTCGGGACGCATCCAGAAAAAAGATTCGATCGAACTCGCAAATACTGCGTCGAAACGGGGACCAAGCGGATTTGCATGCCTGCGGAATAAAATCTAGGTCGCGTGACTATCTTTCGATTCGTGTTCGATTTCGACAAAACAGAGAAAGAAATTTGAGGGAACGTTAGAATTTACAATTCCTCCTCGGTATTTACTGAACCAGCGATTACCAAGATCAGTGACAGTAATCGAAGAAATATTTTAATCAGCAGAAAAGTGAATCATTCGTTCAGAATTTTTTGAAAATACGATGCCAAGATATACATTTCTAAGTAAACGTGTACGAGCTTGCTTGAATTTATACGAAGTTTTCGATCAAATATTTTTATATGTAAAAACAATATCGAAGAGACGCGACGGAACTTTCACGTGTTGCTTCGCCGAGTTGAGTAAGCTGTAAGTGTGTAAACATCCGAGGTCTAGTTTTTATGGTTGCAGAATTCCCGCCCTCTCTCTTTCCCTCGATTCTGCATCTCTCTCCGTGAATTTGTTCGATAATCGACCAGATCCAATTACCGACTCTTGATCCACGGTTTCGTATTGTTACGTCACGCTGCATGGATCTCGCCGGGTCGGATTACTAATCCTACCAGTAGCATTTGGTATCCTTTCACACTGCCGATCGCTGCCGATAACTTTACTCATCCTTCGAGGTTTCGTTGCCGTGAGTATACATAGCAGACGGTGGTCACTGGTCTACGAATGTTCGTGCAAATTTGCATCTTAATGCATAAATTCAGGAG